CAAGACACAGTTTGGTGTAGTGATTAGGAGCGCGGACTCTAATCTGGGAGAACCGGGTTTGATTCCCCATTCCTCCGAATGCAGCTGCTGGGGTGACCTTGGGTCAGTCACAAGTTCTTTCAGAGCTGTCCTCTCAAGAGAGTCCTTGAGAGAGCTGTCTCAGCCCCACCTACCTCAGAGGGTGTCTTGTGTGGGGAGGGGAAGGGAAAGGAGATTGTAAGCCGCTCTGAGACTCCTTCGGGTAGTGAAGGGCGCGGTACAAATCCAATCTCCTCCTCCTCCTCCTTGCCCTTGCATGCCTCCCTCCCAGCAACTGGCTTTCAGGCATAGGGGCCTCTGACTCTACAGATTCCTTTTAGCCATCTTGATTAATAGCCACCAATAGACCTGTCCTCCATTAAGGGGACTGCCTTTGGGTGACTGTGCAAGGTGAGTCACTTCTGTCTGCAGGGCGGCTTCAAGTGTTGGGCATAGTGCCGTATCTGCCTAGGTCTATCACTTGGCACAAAGCCTGTTGCCAGGACAGACACTTCATCTATCCATTTTCACTAGATCATCCTAGAGGTCTTTGGGATGTTACTGAGGCACTTGTGAGGAGCCGTCTCTCATTTCAACCTGGGAGAGGGAGCAGAGTGCAGCTTTGCCAGTCTGGTGTAGCGGTTAAGAGCAGCGGACCGTAATCTGGGAGAACCGGGTTTGATTCCCCACTCCTCCGCATGCAGCTGCTGGTGTGACCTTGGGCCAGTCACAAGTCCTTTCTGAGCTATTCTCTCAAGAGCAGTTCTCAAAAGAGCTCTCTCAGCCCCACCTACCTTACAAGGTGTCTGTTGTGGGGAGTGGAAGGGAAGGAGATTGTAAGGTACTCTGAGACTCTGAGTGAAGGGCGGGAGATAAATCCAATCTCCTCCTCTTCTTCTTCTAAAACCGAATTCAACCTTCTTTTTATTCCAGGTGTTTTTTTTCCCCTGTTCTGCATGACGTTACCTCCCTTCAGTGGCCATCCCAGTTTCAGCCTGCTGTTGCCCTGGGTTTTTTGGATGCTGTTTTGCCGTGGACTTAAATCGCCTCGACTCGAACTCTGAGAAAATCTGGACAGATTTTTGTCTTAGCTCAGGAAGGATGGCTCCAGAGCAAAGTAATTTACGCAGTAGCCAAATCGCTGGCTCACAACTTTAAAGCCAGTAACTCACAAAGCAGAATTTTTGCTCACCAAGACTCCACAGCTTAGAGGGAACATTGGCCAAGGCCTACCATATCCCTCCCCCATCCAGACACAAAGTGTCTGTGATTTCCAGCCGAGGGCACCTGAGATCACCCGAACGAGGGCTTGAGCTGGAACCTGAAGGGCCGCAGACAGACGATGGCTGCATCCTGTCATCCAGACAAAGGCAGGAGTTCAGGCCCCTTGTATTTTATGCCCTGCCTGGCCAGCTCAGTCTCACACTGCCTGCGGGTCTTGCTCCCAAGCCCCATCTGTTTCCGAAGACTAGGGAGTCTTCCTATGCATGCCGAACACTCGAGCACCTTTCCGTCAGTTTAATTTCTCCACTTCGTCGATCGTCTGTATAGCTTTTCTGCACTCCATGTCCTCTCGTTTTTCGAGCATGTCTGCCACCACCGTCGAGGCCGACTTGCTTTTTAAAAAATTATCCCACTGCATTGTGCATGCGTGGCCTTTTGTGCATTTGGGGATGCCGAGAATCGCAGCACGCACTCGAACAAAGAGAGAAGCACAAAAACAGGGCCCTGGCCCTCGAGGCTGTGAAAATGGTCTTGCAAAACACATAGGCATGGCATGTGTTGTTGCTTATGATTTACACAGGTTGCAGACACCAGTTTATTGTGGTTGAAGCTGCGATCCCCACCCCCACCCCGAGAAGAGAAAGCACAGCTTGGAATCCTGTTTTCCAGATGTCCTTGTAACAGGACATTGTTTGGGTGGGAAGCTTTGTACCTCAATAGTCTGGCAATCAGAGGGGCTGGGGAGGGGCCCTGTAGCTCAGTGTTGCTTGGCATGCAGAAGGTCCCAGGTTCAATCCCCGGCATCTCCAGTTAAAAGGACCAGGCAGGAGGTGATGGGAAAGACCTCAGCCTGAGACCCTGGAGAGCTGTCAAGAGGGACTGTGGCTCAGTGGCAGAGCCTCTGCCTGGCATGCATGAGGTCCCAGGTTCAGTCCCCGGCATCTCCAGTTAAAAGGACCAGGCAGGAGGTGATGGGGAAGACCTCAGCCTGAGACCCTGGAGAGCTGTAAAGAGGGGCCGTGGCTCAGTGGAATGCAAAAGGTCCCAGGTTCCTGAGACCCTGGACAGCTGCTGCCAATCTGAGTAGACAGTACTGATCTCGATGGACCAGTGTTCTGATTCTGTGCAAGGCAGTATCATGTGTGTTTAGAATTGCACCATCCAACTGTAGTAAGTAAATCTGTTTCTTCATTTGAGCCAGTAAGTGAAGGTGTTGAACAGATATAGAGGATTCAGAGATTAATCATTCTAAAGTGAACAATTTCTCTCTTTTTCCAGGGGAGAGGGCTTGATTGAGAGCCAGTTTGGTGTAGTGGTTAAGAGTGGCAGACTCTAAGCTGGAGAATTGGGTTTGATTCCCCACTCCTCCTCCATATGCAGCTGCTGGGTGACCTTGGGCAAGCCACAGTTCTCTCAGAGCTGTCTCAGCCCCGCCGACCTCACAGGGTGTTTGTGGTGGGGAGAAGAAGAGAAGGAGATTGTAAGCTCCTCTGAGAGTCCCAAGTGAAGGGCGGGGTATAAATCCGATCGTCTCCTGTTCTTCTTCTCCGTTTTCTTCCTCCTCCTCCTCCTCCTCCTCCTCTTCTTCCTCTTTTTCCTCCTCCTTTTTAGAGAAGTTTCATTCAGATTTTGTTACGTAGTTCATCCAGGCCACCCGGTCTTGACTCTGCCTCTCTGTCAACACCTTCTCCAGGCACTCCTGGGTAAAAATACGATGCTTCCCCTCTCCCCAAACTTTCTCTGTAAACCATAAATAGATACCAGACCTCGGAAAGTGAGTGGAGTGGACTATCATCCCCTTGCGCAGATGCAAACCAACAAATCTGCAGGTTCAGAATAAGTTACAGCAAATTAGAAGACTGTCCGCAGGCGGAGCTGGTTCGGTTCCACTCTCGTGGAGCTTTTTGAGGTTGCAGGCCGGGAGGAGGGGAAGAAGGGAAAGAAAATAGAGAAAGAGGTACTTTTCTCCCTTTCTCACAAGACAAGATCTCCTTGTGGGCACTCGATAAAATTGCTGAGCGGTCGGGTTAGAACGGATAAGAGGAAGTCCTTCTTCACCCAAAGAGTGATGAACACATGGAATTCACTGCCACAGGAAGTGGTGGCGGCTACAAGCATGGACGGCTTCAAAAGGGAATTAGATAAGCATATGGAGCAGAGGTCCATCAGTGGCTATTAGCCACAAGGTATAGATAGGGGCTCTGGGGAAGTGATGCTATGTCTTCTTGGTGCTTGGGGGGGGCAACAGTGGGAGGGCTTCTAATGTCCTGGCCCCACTGGTGCACCTCCTGATGGCACTAGTATTTCTGAGTACTGTGTGATACAGAGTGTTGGACTGGATGGGCCTTTGGCCTGATCCAACATTGGCGTCTCTTATGTTCTTATGTTCTTATGTAAGGTTTCTTGTGCTGAGTTTTAGAGAAGGCGCGAGAAATCTGCCAAGTGGACACGGCTAGGAAGATGCCCATGGTTTGTTGTCCTCCTCCTTAAGTCCCCCCGCAAAGTTACCATTTTGTCAGCATCCTGAGAACGGTGTGATCTTCGACGTGTGATCTGGTCAGATCTCGGAAGCTAAGCAGGGTCCGCTGTGGTTAGTGCTAGGATGGGAGGCCTCCAAGGAAGTCCAGGGTTGGCGCGCAGAGGCCGGCAATGGCAAACCACTTCTGAACACCAGATCAATAAATAAACCATCTATATTCCAGATGGCAGGGAAAAATGAAGCTCCGCAGACTCCTGGGGGAGAGAGGTGTAAGGGATGGGTCAGTGAAGTTCAACGAAGGGACGGGGGGGGGTTATGAGGGATGGGGGGAGTATGTGAGAGGGCCAGGTGTCGATACCGTCCCCATCGCTGTCCTCAACCAAATTGCCTGGCAGGACATCTGCCGTGCATGCCCTGCAGAAAGGTAGTATCTCCTGCAGGGCAGGGATGTTCTCCGACAGAGAGTTCCGCCAAGTTGGGGCTAGGGCCGGAAAAAAAAAACCCTGGCCCTGGTTGAGGACAGCCGGATCTCTCTCGGGCTGGGGGACACCAGGAGGTTCTTATTCTCCGAGCGTAATGCTCTTCCAGGGGCATACTGGGAGAGGCAGTCCCGAAGATATGTAGGTCTCTTGACTGCTAAGGGCTTTAAACCTCTCAGAGTTCTGCAGGGCCTACGAGACGGAGCTCTTCCACCAGGCTTTCAATTAGGAGCCGCCCCTACCCCCACCAACAGCTATCTCATGGCAATAACGGGTAATGGGATGGCCCATTATAAAGATCGAGCCACAGTATTGCGATGGGTCGGCACCGCTGAAGCATGCTTTTGGATAACATCTATAGGTCATCACCTTGATGCAATCACTGAGCACTTTATTACTGTTAAATATACTTGTTTTATTTTGTTTTTAATGCTTTATATCGGGACATGTTGCCCTTGTTTGTGAGCTGCCCTGAGCCCGTTTGTGGGGAGGGCGGGATAGAAATGCAATCAATCAATCAATCAATCAATCAATCAATCTGGAGAGCCGGGTTTGATTCCCCACTCCTCCTCCGCATGAAGCCCGCTGGGTGACCTTGGGCCAGTCACCGTTCTCCCAGAACTCTGCCAGCCCCACCTGCCTCACAAGACGCCTGTTGTGGGGAGAGGAAGGGAAGGCAATTTTGCAGCATCAGGCACGCCCTTGTCCCTGTCTCAAGATATAGCCTTGGAGATTTGGGAGGAGCCAAGCCAGCTTCCTCATGGCTTGGCCTGACGTATCCTGTTTTTTCTCTCTTACAGGGTTGTGAAAGAAGAAATCTCGGACGACAACGCCAAGCTTCCCTGTTTCAATGGCCGGGTGGTGTCTTGGGTAAGCAGGCATCTTGACTTGGGTCTGTCTCAGTCTCTGCTGCCAGCAGCCTTGAAATCAGATCCCTTTCTTCCTAATAACGCAATCCCCAGCGAAATGTCTGAGCTTAGTAAGCCCAGGCTGGCTGGATCCCAGGTTGTATTGATGTGTGTTTCCCGCTTATGACCAAGAGCCACAACATGGAAGCCAGTTTGGTGTAGTGGTTAAGTGCGCAGTCTCTAATCTGGGAGAACCGGGTTTGATTCCCCACTCCTCCACTTGCACCTGCTGGATGACCTTGGGCAAGCCGTAGTCCTGGCAGAGCTGTTCTTGAAAAAAAGAGCAGTTTCTGTCAGAGCTCTCTCGGCTCCACCTACCTCCCAGGGTGTCTGCTGTGGGGAGGGGAAGGGAAAGGAGTTTGTAAGCTGCTCTGAGACTCCTTTGGGTAGTGAAGGGCAGGGTATAAATCCAATCCTCCTCCTCCTCCTCTTCTCCTTCGCCTTCTCTCTCTCCCTCTCCTTCTCCCTCTTCCTGCTCCTCCTCTTCTTCTTCTTGCTATTCTTCTTCTTGCTCTTGATCTTGTGCTTGAACAGACGACCCAGGCACAGTGCGTCCTTTCAGAATTAGCATGGCGTGTTGGTTCTGTAAATCTCTTGTTCTGGTTCTGGCTGGCACGGGAAAAACACAGGGGTTGCCAAACCCTTAGCAAGCTACAGTGCCCAGCTAGTGGGCTGTGTTAGCTTGGCGGAACAACCTGTGCAGGCCTAGCCTAGGGAGTGGCAGACCCAAAGCCAGGATTTTGTAATTTGGGGAGCCTCTAAATAAGTCGGGGGGCACTGACGTCACAGAAATAACAAATAAAATTTTAAAGACTCACCTCCACCACCGACTCGCTCAGCCCTCTGTCATCACCCGGCTACAGCATGCCTCGCACCTGCCCTCCGCGGCTTTCCAGCTCCTGCGAGCCCCCCCTTCAGGAGTCACCAGGTAAATCTGTCTCCCCCCATCGGAACTTTCAGATCCCGAGCCCTGCCCCCAGTCCACATGCAGAGCAGTGGGGGGGGGG